TGAAGTTTTTATTCCAATTGTTATCCAGGTGGATTTGTTTTTATTTTCATTTTTGACTATTTTTAAGGGAAAGCTTGAATAAAAGATCCTCAAGTATGTGTTCATATATGATAGGCATAACTGAAAAGTAGGCTACGAATGTAAGGGGCAAGCTGCCGAAACAAAACATCCTTGACAGGCATACATTTATAACAATGGATGACACGCCGTGTGAGTTGAAATAAAGTGCACCAAAATAACGTGGGTATAATAGACTCTTTAATGGATTTTATCTTATTTTACCTTGAAAAGAAAACTACAGCATGTGATTTTAACCTGGACTAACACAGTGTAGCAGTTTTTCAACACAATTTGTAATATATCAAGACACCTGAAGACGGCTATTTGGGGCCAAAACATGTAGTGTCAAAGTGTATAATGTTAAACTAAAATTAAAATTAAGTAGTGAATAAACAAGTGTTGCAATATTGATGGACAATAAATACATGGACGTTAAGTGTTGTGTATTATGTACATTTTGTGGTCCTTGAGAAACTTTGTGATACATTTTAGAGTCTCTTCACTCATACGCCTTCTGTTCTGCAGGTCAATCAGACATCTTCAGGAAGCTTCACACACGGATGGAAAAGCAGCTATCAACTTACGGAAACTGAAGCTCTTCCGACATTTCTACATCATGATAATTTGTTACATCTATTCGACAAGAATCATCGTATACTTGCTCAAGGTAGAGCACTTTAAATATTTTATCTAAGATTACAGTTTGTTTCTATAACAAATGATTCTGGGTATCACAGAGTGGGCATTTCAAAAGTAAAGTATGCTTTTTCAAGATTTTCATGAGGTGGGAAATAACACCTTGCTCTATTCTGTTCTTGATGTCACTTGTCAGTATCAAGTACCTGCAGTCATGTGCAGGAGAGGAGCTTTGCTGTTCTCAGAAGACTTTACAAACAAGATTGGTTCTTGCATGTACAGTATATATGTGACAAAATGAGTATGGCTTATAATGAGAACTTCATTTCATTAAAAATCATTGGCACCATAATTTTTGTAAAATAATGTATGTGAAAAGAATCTTTCATGATTCAAGGATTTTTATTGCATTTTTGTCATTACAAGTGATTCCCAACTAGCTGCAACTTTTCCGTTAAGTGGCTATACTTGTAATTTTGCTTTCCAAGTTGTTTATAGCAGGCGGGCCAGAAAGGTGCCATTTACCCACCCTTCAGGTCTATCTTCTCTGGGTAAAGAAAGTCACAATCTGGGTACTGTGTGTCTCAAAAGGGAATTACTTGTCCTTGAGGTGGTAAGGGTTAATATGCATGCACAGAGCCATTCTAATATTGATTCAAAAAATATTGTCCTCAGAATGTTACATAGACACAATGGGGGATAGTGATTTTAGAACCCATGTCCACCATGTGCCATAATCTGAAATTTTCTTCACCTGATACTGTACCTTGTTTCATTGTGTCATGTAGCTAGTGAATGAGAAATGAATATATTAACCTTTAAGAGCCTAATGTCACCATACAGTGTCATTTAAAGTACAGCCGAGTGGCCGTGCATCACTGTATGGGTACCCGCAATCCACGCGTGCGCATAGTGTTTTAAAATCTTATTTTAAGATAGAAATTCTTGTTCTACTTACACTATTTTTGGACACCAGCTTTATAAGTAGACTCTCTTCCCTCCTGCATCATCAAACTGACATTTGTTGCCTTTGTGTGGAACTGTTGGAAACACCCAGAAATGCAGAGTCCAACATCGCCCTTCACGCACTTTGTCCGGATGTTACTTCATTTCCCACGCGAAGAGCACACACGGCATCTCAATCTCGTATTAGAGGAAGTCGGCCAGTGATGTCGACTTGCCTCCTCTAATCGAGATATCGCCGATGACACAGCAGGAGGTTGACCCCTGGACCATTGAGGGCGAGGTGGACCCCTTGCAACATGTTCCACCATGTTCCGCACAAGGGTGAGACGAAATTCTCTGTGTGACAATTTCACGCCACAGGATGACAACAGGATGAAACTGTTCAGAATTGTCAGATCCAGGAGATGGAAAAATAGTTTATTTGTCCATTTCCAGGTTCGATGACTGATGCTGTAACTGTTTGCCCTTCTATCCGCTTTGTCGACATAACCCATGTGCTTGTTGTAGTCAGCAACAATTGCTGGCTTGGTGGAATTTCCGTGCTCATCACAGAAACTGCCTTCTGCTGGAGGACAGTGCATGTTTGTCAACATATGAACGTCACGTTTGTCCTTCCAAACTAGTGCCGTCAAGTTTCATCTCACCCTAACACGAATGTCACCTTTCTTCAGTTGAAATTGTCTTCGTCGAAAATCATCAGGCAAGCCCTTCCGATCAGGTCTGACTGTCCCACAGTACATTATATCCTTTGTCATCAGTTCGTCAAACAAGTCTGGTGACAAAAAGAAATTGTCCATGTACAGTTTGTGACCTATGCCCTCAATACGTCTGCATAGGTCCCTAACTGTAGCATGTGTCGCTGTCACATCTTGGCTGGCACGTGTCCTGTCTTTTCCTAGGTAAACTTTCATGTCATAAGTATACCCAGCGGCGTCACAAATTTTGAAGATTTTGATTCCGAAACGTTTGTGTTTCTTAGGAATGTACTGCCTGAAAGCCACCCTCCCTTTGAATTTAACAATTATCTCGTCTATGGCCAAATGTTCGGAAGGGTTATAATATTCATATGCGTCATTGAGAGTGTCGAAGATGGTCCAAATTTCCATAGTCGGTTGTAACTGTCGCTATTCCTGTCAGTTTCTGTATTGTTGTCTGCAAAATGAAGAAAACGAAGAATGTGTAGAAAACGGTCGCGTTTCATTGTGTTAGAGTAGAAAGGCGTGGCAAATTGTTCTGCAGTCGACCAGTAGTCCTTTAGTCTGTATCTAATGTCATGTCCCATTTGAATGATTATTCCTAGAAACAGAAACATCTCGGAATCAGTCACGTCAGGCTGTGGAGAAGGTCCGTCTTGAAGTCTGTCTACGTGCTGGTGGTAGTACCTGTTCGTCTCTTCCACCAGCAGACAGATAATCCCTGCGAAGTAGAGCATGAAAACGCAGAAAGGGGTGGAATCCTTATTTACGTATGGAGCTTCATTGGTATTTAACCCCACAGCTCCGCCGGAATAATTATTCACACCCTTCCTGCCATGCTGGTGTGGTGGTCCCCAGGTTGCCGATGAAGATGATGGGTCTTCATCGACTTCAATTTCTAATTCACTTTCTTCCTCACCACTCTCAGAGTCATCGGTACAACAGTCTGAATCTGTGTCATTTATAAGCTGATTCTCAATTTCAGCGTCTTCCAAATATGAGGCCATGGTGGACAAATGAACACAACGCTAGCCTTGAACGTTCTGACACTGCTGGGCTATATTTCAGAACAGAGTACTTCTTGTGTGGCTGTACGAGATAATACACAGTCAGTGTTTCTGTGAACGATTAGACATCGCCCACATTCGTGCATACCGAAAGGAACCTACATACTGGAGAATGAGGAACGCAAGCGTAAACATCCGCCCCTGTTGCCACATAAGCCATAGTTAGAAAATGATGTCAGCAGCAGGCATTTAGACTGCAGAAACGTTTTGTGCAGGAACTGTATGCATTTTTGTGCACAGACGTTCGAAATTGAGAGAAAAAAAAAATTTCCATCAGTGTAAAAATTTTTAGAGATTTTAAAATCGGTAAATTACAATAACTGATTCTATATTATTTCTAGATAAAAGCAGCGTTTATTTCGTTCGTTTATCACAAAAATTGTAGAAATCACGGCATTTTCAGTAGTATGCTTACAATTTTTATTACTCTACAATGGCGGGCATTTAAATTAAATCCGTCCCACTACCGCTACCGGAATTTAAATGGCCGTCTCTTAAAGGTCAATGTTATTGTGCTGTATGCATTTCAGTTGAGTGAAAATAAGTGATCAGCCATAATTATGGCAATGAAACAAGTGTTGTAGACTTGAATATGAAACTTGAAGTAATATGTCTCTTTGAAGTTGTTGGCTTGTCAGAGAGCAAAATGAGAAGGTGACATAGATCTGATGCTTTCGACACTGTTTAACATTTAGAAGAAAAGTTTCCTGAAAAGGTGATATCAAATGTTGCTGTCATGTGGTTTACTTTCCTCCTTCATATTAGGGAAGTCTTGGCCTCATTTCTAAGTCCATAGACCAGCTATCCTAATTGAAGATTTTTATGATTTTCTCAGTTCATCCACGCAAATGCCAGAATAGGGCCTCCAATGAGGTTATGATTGCTTCCTTCCACATCCTTTTAATTCAGTGATCCTTTGATGGTATATAGTCTGAGCTAAGGACAGTGTTGTAAGGAAAACCATGCCACACATGGAGATCTTTTGGCTTTTGAATGACTGTCAAATTTTCAAGAAGGACTCTGCTTAACCTTTAACGTACGGACTTTTAAATTGCCCGCAGCCCTCTGCGGCCAATATTTAAATCACCCTAATTAATTAACATTGCAAACTTTCAGAAAAAATCCATATTTTCCAATCTATGCAGCATAGAAATACGGACTAAAACAACCTGAAAGACAATAAAATTTTCTACATATACACAAAAGAGCAATTTTTACAAACAAAGTTAACTGTGATTATTTTGTCATGAATTGCAAAATATAATCTTTATTATATATGTTATGAAATTCCAAAGGACTTACCCGTTGTTTTTTCTTCAACCTTGAATCATGGTGATATTGTAAATATAATCACACTATATACAATAATATTTTGTTCAGACTGTACACGAGTTTGAACTGAGTCACTTCACACTCTGACACGCATGGCATTTCTTGAAGCAGTCCACCTCACACAAAGCGACATCACACTTTTTACAATAGAAGAGCGTGCTCCTGCTTTTCTTATTTAGCGAAACACACGACAGTGTCTTTGTTTCCCTTTGGTTAGCTAGTGTTGTGAATGTTTCACCTCCAGTTGACTCATTTGGGCCCCACGTAACCTTGGCCTCCCCCAAGAAACGCCACTGACTGTGATATTCAGCTTTGAGACTTGGTGATATTGTAAATATAATCATACTATATACAATAGTATTACTGTACTCGAGTTTGAACTGCATCACTTCACAGTTTCAATTCACGGTCACTTCACTATGATAGTCACACTGACACGTGTGGCACTTCTCGAAGCAGTCCACTTCACACAGAGCAAAATCACACTTTTTACAATAGAAGAGTGTGCTCCTGCTTTTCTTATTTAGCGAAACACACGACAATGTCTTTGTTTCCCTTTGGTTAGCTAGTGTTGTGAATGTTTCACCTCCAGTTGACTCATTTGGGCCCCACGTAACCTTGGCCTCCCCCGAGAAACACCACTGACTGTGATATTCAGCTTTGAGACTTGGTGATATTGTAAATATAATCATACTATATACAATAGTATTACTGTACTCGAGTTTGAACTGCGTCACTTCACAGTCACTTCACTATGATAGTCACACTGACACGCGTGGCACTTCTTGAAGCAGTCCACTTCACACAGAGCAAAATCACACTTTTTACAATAGAAGAGTGTGCTCCAGCTTTTCTTATTTAGCGAAACACACGAAAACGTCTTTGTTTCCCTTTGGTTGGCCAGTGTTTTGAATGTTTCACCTCCAGTCAACTCAGTTGGGCCCCCTGATAACTTTGGCCTTCCCCCGAGAGACGCCACTGACCATGATATTCGGCTTGTGCGATTGAAGAATCATCTTGGGGAAGGGGGGTTTCTAGCGAAATCGAATAAATTATGTTGATTGACAAAGCGACACTCTCACCTGTTGGTAATATTCACAAAATAGTGATGCAAAGTAATTATAATACTATTCGAAAAGAGTGCCAGTCCGACACATACTGAAAGTTGCAGTGGCGAAGATGCCTTTTACTCACAAAGTAATACTAGCTCAGTGGGTTTATACCTCTTCCAAGACACAAAATAAAAATGATATATAAAGAAATATATGACAGTGTGACACTGACTTTCTAACTGATAAAGAAATATTAGACAATCCGACACTGACTTCCTGACTGATAATTCGCCACTGAAAACCAATCCTTGAATGCGTCAGACTTCCTTGAAGGCTCTGCAAGTGCTCATATGCAAGCACCGATAAATATTTCCTCATCAGTTCTCGAAACAAAGCTGGGCTATATTTGGCTGACCAGGTCATAAACAATCATATCTAAACGTAAATAGTATCGAAACCAGTACCGTTATAAATAATTTATTTGTTCAGAGCTAAGGAATGAACCACTGACATGACCTCACAGGTTTGTTTTGGTTTCAAACCCAAAGTCAAACTGTCAGCACTCCCAAAGAGAGCATGTGTCCTGTGGCACATATACGTGTCATTTGGCCAACTCCGGTTGCTGCTTGCGACATATATATGTGCCATTCGGACGTTAAAGGTTAATGGAATTAGTTCCCTGTTGTCGACACCACCAATGAGGCAGCCACACTGCCTTCTGAAGTGCGCAGAGTACCAGCTGAACGCATGCTGAATATTCCAAAACACTGTTTTTACAGTCTGTGAGTGATGGCTGTTAGGACGAGTACTGATCTTGTAATTGTCTGTGTTGCAGATCACAGTGCCATTCCAGTACGAGTGGCTGGATGAGATGTTCCACGAAATGGCTACATATGTGTTCTTTGTGCTGACAGGCTACAAGTTTCGGCCTGCATCGGCCAATCCTTACTTTCAGCTCAGCACTGATGAAGATGCTGAAGAAACAGATATCGTGTAAGTAACTTTAATTAGAAGATCCATAATGTTGTATTTCAAAATCCCCTTGAATTAGTTGAAGCAGGATTCATGTTTTCAGTGTACAGATGGTACGTTGTTAGGCAGTGACTGGCTATGTCCTAGTTCACAGGGCAATGATTCTCAGCAGTTATAGGGATTTTTCTCTTTGCCACATCAAGACTGTGTCTTACACCTACCAGCTTTGTATCTTCTGCAGTACTGGGAACAGTTTTCTTAGGAGAATGCTGCTGGAGTTGAAGCAGAACACTTACTTTAGTGCCATTTTTAAAAACGTGTAGCTGTATCCCCAAGCCACTTAACAAAGTACTGCGGAGTTTTCTGCGTCTTCATCTTCATATGAGGCAGCAGGAACACAGGAAACAGCTTTCTGCATTGTGTCAAATTTTGAAGCTTGTGATTTGCTTATTTCTCAGTAGATGTCATTTGCTGATGTCTTTATTGAAAGCTGACATGGTATACATCATGTCAAACAAAGAATACCTCAGTAAGTTAAACTGGCGCTGATCATTCTGAGCCCTTATTTATTTGGATGATTATAGATGACCATGAAATTTATTTCTAATTAATTCTTGGTAATTTTAATTTCAAAAGTCTTATGTTTCGATATTACTGGAACTTTATTGTGATCTATAATATCGTATTTCATTGTCTGGGACGTGCAATACGGTGTTTATGTTGAAATTTCTAGATTCTGGCATGACCAAGGAGTCCGGAGTTCTGACATTTACGAGCAGTCATAAATTTAGCTCGGGTACAGGAAAGTCAATGAGAAGGACAGGTCAGAACTTTTTACAGTTGCCTGTGAATGAGGGCCAGTATGATTGAGTTGCCTCGTTCAAGCTTCCTTACGGAAGATGGGATGACATATATATGTCCACACCATGGAGAATTTGAATTCTTTCGAATTCCTGGCGTGGGGTGTGCAAGCCATTCCACAAAGGAGACTTTCAACATATTCGGAAGTGAACGGACGTGACCCTTGCACACTCCGAGACGTAGCTTGCAGATCGTGTAACGCTATAACTTAAAGCATATGGATACATAAAATTAACAGTGGTTTGGAGAACAAAAGGGTGAATAAACGTCAATTGGATCAACTCCCAGAATACCGCTTTCTTCGGCATTGCTACCCTGAGACTCGGGCAAACCAACCCAGCTAGTTTCCCGTACCTAAACCGATCTTCCTTAGTTTGATCTGTGAGGACAACTTGCAGTGGTCATCATACACTGTCCTAAGGTGGAAACGGGTGTAGCAGGGATAGCACCATTCCGACTGAGCTGACATAAACAAAGGCTGGTTGAAAAAGAGCGGTGTTAAAACCCAAATAAGAAGGTAATTGAAAGAGACAAAAGTTTGTTCACTTATATCAGACTAAGATTTGTCTACACAAAGAAGAGTTTTATAATATTGTATTTCATCATTGTGTTGCATCGAAGTATCACTCTACACTCTGTCTTTAATGCAACTCTGTTCACAGTCTTCATAACTTAAAATAATATTAAAATCACAATCAAATGCTACATGTTACGTGACCATTCTCAGACAACTGTTCACTTTTTGTAACCACCACACTGCACTGGTTCCTGAGTCAAAATGTTTCAGTACTATTGCATTTTCATCATTCATACTAAAATACATTTGTTTGAGAACATTACTTTTTCTTTTTCCACCTCATTTCCATCCTTCCATCAATTCCAAGACCTTTTCACGTGATTTCCTCCCTAGAAGTTTTCCAATTAAAATTCTGTATGCATTTGTCATGTGCCCTGTGTGTATTACATGATTTGCTCATCACATATTCCTAAAGATGTTAGCTTATGGCTGCTTTGTCTTACAGGGTCACTCAGTCAGGCTTGACAGAGGGTCTAAGCAAGATTGCACGTACGACCAAGGTGATTGTTGATGAGATATCTGATGAAGAAAAAGACAACTTTCTGGCCAAGAGGGAGAGCAGCCATGAGTATGATTGATGACAAACCCCAAATGTACACGTGATTATTCTTGCATTGATTGTTGGGGTATATTAAAATCAGGTACTAGATGTGTGGAACATTTGCCAAATACCTTGCACCAGGATTGGTCAGTCACAGAAATAGCAGTGGAATCATGTGGATTCTTATGTCAGCTACATTGCGCTTGATATGTCAAAGGGAAGGAAGGAAATCTTCCCCATCTCTGACTCTGCTTCATAATTTCATATTCTTTCAAAAATTTTTTACAGTATCATCTGTAACGTTTAAAAATTCATCTGTGAATTGTGACATTATGTTCAGTTAACCATTGTAAATGGTAAGGTGGAGGAGCATTGAGTGATAATTTGGCAAGGAAATCAGGTTTGTATTAACTGGCACAGTGGCAGTAATTACAAGTATGATAGGGTTTTATGCAAATCTTCGACCTTATTGTTATGTATTTGAAAGCAAAGAGGTGTCATACTGTACCCAGAACTGCAGTCTTTGCATGGCCGTAAGAAAGCCTGTAATGGTTACAGGCTGATTGTTGTCTTCCATGTTATGCAGCTGTCTGTTGATGAAAATTATAAAATTTCCCACACATCTCCAGTGGCACATATTACAGAAGTAATTACAGCACTTCAGAAAACTTCAGATTGTTGCTGATTTATGTAGCTGTTACCATGTGACAGTGCTCATTGCTTCAGAACTGTCAGCCACCCAGTATCTTCATAGAATCCTACAAAATCATCTTAAATAATTTAATGAATTATTATATTGTCATGTTATTGTTATATTCTGTCTAACAATTCTTGTGCATGTGTACAGGCCGAGGGAGTGATTTTGCACTCTGAATTCGAAAGGAAAACCTTATATTTATATATGTGTGTGGAGTTAATGGATGGGAAAATAAAAATTGTAAAATTGGGATTTTTTATATGGCAGTGTTGCCATATACTTACTATGGTCAAGGAAAGGTTTTTAGTAGAGATACAAGTACTGTAGTGATAAATCTTTACAGAATTTCATGAATTTTCTGATTGCAATAATAATGTGCCATTCTGAACATAAAGTGACCCTGGTACTTGGCAGATGGGCAAATGTTAGTAAATAATGGCCTAATTGTTTTTACATACATATCTTCCATCGAATGGACTGGTATGTCTTTATACAAGTTATTTTTAGCCCCTTCCATTCAGTCTCATAATTTAAATTTTCTGTTGTGCAGCAGATGATGCCTGACAATTAAATAACCAGATGAACATATTTGTGCGACAGATAGTAACACTGATGGGCTGGCATGTGCTGCATCATGTGATTGCTCTGTGAGTCAGAAGTTTTGTGGCATTCATTGGGATTTACTTTGTTGAGTGATTATAGTAAATGTTTCGTTGCCATAGTGTTATGTTTGTCAAAAGTGTGGGTGATAAATTGTTATAACAGGGACTTTGCTATGCAAAGATTGTGAGCTTTTGGAAATGAAGGTATTGGTCATGAGGCTTGGCTCTCATTGCATGTTCCAGAAGCAAAGCCTCCGTTGGAAAATTCCAAATGTCAAAATCAAGAGTCAGATCCCTGCTGTTACACCTTTATGATATCAGAGAAATTATTCACTATGAATTTGTTCTTCCTATACAATTTATAAAGCATTATTCCTCCAAGTTTCCAAATGTTTGTGGCAGGACATACATTGAAAAAGATCAAATCTTTGATTGGATAAGAGTACATAGCATCATGAAAATGTACTTTTAAAAATGGAGGGTATGCCATCACGCAAATGTTTTTTATTTATCAGTTTGCAACATGTTTGGGCCCCAGTAGGCTATCATAAAGTGATTCTTGATGATGGCATCTCCTCCACTTTATTTGTAAGCACCACAGACATGATGCAACAGTACAGAATAATTTACCTTCCTATGCAAAACTTTGTTTTTGGCAAAAAATGAAAAACCTGCCTCTCTACACTCATCTGGTTTGGCTCTGTATGACTGACTATATGTGTTCAAAATAAAAAAAATCATCTTTGAAGGGTCCATTTTGAATGACAGCTGTGGCTCTGTATGACTGACTATATGTGTTCGAAATCAAAAAAAAAACATCTCTGAAGGTTCCATTTTGAATGACAGCTGTGTGATAGCAGTACGGACAGTACATGAAGTGATGCCAGTCATGTTGGAATGCATGTGTAAAATCTGAAGGTGCTACAAAATCAGTCCAGTTGTGTAATTGTCAGACCTCATATTTTTATGCGGTGTTAAATGACTATCTTGCTTGAGAGTGTCAGTTGCTTTCCGTGTGCACTTTCAATATTTTGAATGACTCCTAGTTATTTTATTGTTTTAAGTTTGAAAGGGAGCTGGAAATAAATTTTCTTTTGTTCTTTTCGCTTGTGGATAATAGTAAGAAGTGATTATGGAAAAGGGAAGGAAGGCATAATTTGGACTGGCAAATAAAGTAGAGGCATACAAATGTGCAATTAATTTGTAATCCACTGAGCAGGTTGGTGTAATGAAAATGCTCAGGAGGCATCTTAGCCAGGGTTGTAAGATTAACTGTCACAAACATGCATTAACTCTTTGACTGGCGCGAAGGGTATTTAAATGCCTCCCCTGTCCTGGCAGACCCGTTAAGCTTTAATTCACTAAAATGCATGTGTTTACTTTTTTTTTAAATAACTTCAACAAGAATTGGTTTTTAAAAATGAAATTTTCAGGAACTAATAAAAAGACAATATTTTATGCAAAAAAAATTTTCATACCTTTTTAGTAGTTTTTCTTCATGTGATAAACATTGAAAAATTTGAAAGTTTGCAGAGAGCCACACCACAGCTTGCACACTTGTTTCTTTTCTAATCTTGTGCTTAGCACACATGTGACACTTTCTCATGGCACCATTCTTCTTCTTGTTACTGGGAGGAACATGGACCATTTTGTGTATTTTCAGGCCACCCTCTA